TTAAAAAACAAAATGAATATAATGAATGAATGGTGGAATGATGGGGGTAATTTTTTTTTTTTTTTTTTTGATTATAAATGAGAAAAAGGGGTAAAGAAAAACTTTTCGGGAATAATTTTTTCTAAAAAAAACTTTCTCTCTTTTTTTCTATTTATTATTCAAGCACCAAGATATTATGGTCGTCATAATGTTTTAGCTTCTGGTTGGAATTATGTTCCGATTCCTAATCCTGAACAACAGAAACAACAACAACAAATATACCGAACCGATCTTACTATACCGCCACCCTATTATTCGGCTAAAATGATGGCCAATCTTAATCGACAACAACAACCACGACCAATACAGAATTTAAATTCTAAACCAGAAATTATTGTAACAAAAGATTCAACAGTTACAACAACAACAACCGAAACAATTGAATCAATTGATGAACGTGATTCACAGCTATATACAATGGAAGAAATGAATGAAAATCTTGAAGATCAATTAATTAATCATCAAAATGGTCGTCCATTATCGATTGATATGCCAAGTTTAATATCAATGGAAATATTGGAATCACATGGTCATGGTCGTATTCAAACTAAATCTGATCAACAGCCACAGCAGAATGTTGATCAAGTTTTACAAAATGTTAATGAAATGAATCGTATATTGAATGATACGGAAAAATATTTTATTGATCAGATATCGATTGATAATCAATCAAAATCAAAATCAAAATCAATGGAAATGAATGAAAAAAGTATGTTAATTTGATTACATTAATTAAATCTTTTTTTTCTAATGATTTTTTTTGTTACAATCAAAATCAAGGTAAAATTTCCAATCAAGAAACAAATAATAATGCTGATATGCTTTTACCAAAATTATTGGAAGCAGAAACTAATCTATTGGATGTAATGAAATCATTAGATTCAATTAGTGATATTATGAATGATGATTTAACAATCGATAATTATCAATCGATAGATCTTCAATCAATACCACCACCACCATTACCATTATCAAAACATAATGATAATGATAATGTTTTTGAACAACCTGAAGAACCATCAACACCTTATAAAGAATTGATTGAAATTTTTAATCCATTAATTTCAACTGATGATGATGATGATTATATAACTGATTCATCATTAGATCAACAACAACAACAACAACAACAAAATAATAATAATAATAATTGTTCACAAGAAAGAGTTGTAGCTGAATTAGATTTACTTTGTGATTGTTTAATGGAAATGAAAACAAAACAACAACAACAACAACAACAACAACAACAACAACAACAACAACAGAATAATATTTCACCACCGCCACCATTGTTTGATGATAATAATGATGATGATGATGAAGAAACCGATAGAGCTATTTCAATATCAAGATCACCATCAAAAACACCAACAATTATTATTAATGATAATGATGATGATGATGATGATTTTATTATAGCAAATCTTGTAATACCACCACCACCACCACTTCTACAAACATCATCATTAAAATTATCATCAACAAAATTGATTGAAAATCAATCATTGGATATGATTGAAAAATTTCGTCAAGCAACTGATGATGTTAAAAAAATTTGTTATCCATTTTATTATCAAACATCGACAAATGATAATAATGAACAACAACAACAACAACAACAACAAAATCAACAACAACAACAACAATCATCATCATCATCACAATCATTTCATCATCCACAACAACAATGGTTACAGCAATTAGCAATGGCCATTCAGCAACAACAACAACAACAAATATTAACCGATTCTCGACAAAATTATTCACATTGTTTAACACCACCACCGCAAAGACAATATTCATCATTACCGATATTATATCCGAATAGTAATCAACAACAACAACAGCAGCAGCAGCAAAAATTGGATGATCAAATAGCCAATGATTTACGTTCAATTATGTTACAATATCAACAACATCAACAACAGCGACAACAAATCGATTCAAATGGATCAATAATAATGATGGCTAATAATGATAATCAAAGAATTTATCAATATCCAATATCAAAAAACAATACAAACAACAACAACAACAATATAACAAGATCACAATCATTAAATCAATTTGATTATCATCAACAGCAACGACAAAAATTGAATATGATGAATATGATGATGACACCGATTGTTCAACAACAACAACAACAACAAATTCAAAATAAACAAAAACCACCTTTACCACCAAGTATAATGATGATGAAAGAAAAACAACAACAACAACAAAGATTACGTCAACAACAACGTAAAAATGAAAATATATCAACAGCAGCAACAACAACAATAACCGATAATAATAATAATAATCAATCAATATCGATGAATATTGGAAGACCATTACCACCTGCTTATCATCATCATCATCATCATCATCATCAACATTGTCAACAAAATTCATCACAAGGTGGCGGTATTAGTAATACCGGTAGTAATAATAATAATAATTTATATTCAAATATTGAAGATGCTTATATGAATGAAGCAACATTAATAGCTGCTGCAATGCAATCATCATCATCATCACCATCATCATCATCACCAACATCACCACCGCCACCACCAATAACAATTGTTAATAATAATTATAATTCAGCAAATAGATTTGGATCGAATCAATCATCATCATCTTATTGTCCAAATTTGGCTATTTCAACCAAATCGGTTACACATCCTAATAGTAATAATGGATTAGGTCAACATTCAATAATGATTCCAATGACAATGGCAGCAGCAAATAATCAAAATAATAATCAATATCCGCAGCAACAACAACAACGATATAATCAGATAACCGAATCGAAAAAAAGTTGTTTTCAAACTAAAGAAATGGAAAAAATATTTATACAATGTCAATATGATATTGATATGTTATTGGCAAGATTAGAAGAAGTACATGAACAAAGAATATCATCAACAACAACAACAACGAATATTAATAATGATAATAATAATAAATTATCAACAACAAACAACATTGATAAACCATTAATGATTGGATCATTAACAGCAAAAGAAACATTAATTGTTGAATCAAGACATTTTGTAACAGCATCAAAATTATTTGTAAAATGTGCTACGGATGGTTCATTACAATTAATTGATTATTTAACTGAATGTGTTGGTTTACTTGAACGAATGTTTACAATTAGTGAAGATGTTTTAATGGGTGAAATACAATCACCAGCACAAATTACCTGTTTAGTTGATCGTTTAAAAGAAGTTGCAGCAACATATGCATATACTGTTGATGTTGTACGACGATTAGTTAGCCATCCAAATAATGATAATTTATTAATAAAACCAAATAATTTGGATCTATTAATGAGTCATGCAACTGGATTGGCAACAAGTCTTAGTACATTGATGCGTACATTACGAACAATGAATTAATTTTGTAAAAAAAATTCAGAATTTTAAAAATAAAATTAAAAATTTTACTTTTTTTTGTTTTCAAATGAAAATTGATTTATTGAATATTATTATTATTATTATTATTATTATTGTTGTTGTTGTTGTTGTTGTTGTTGTTGACGACAAGAAAAAGACTCAATGTTTCTGGGTTGTTTGTTTCAAATTAAAAAGAATGAAATTTATATTTGAAAATAGAAATAGGGAAAAAAAAGAGGAAGAAAGGAAGGAAGGAAAGTGTTGGTATATTCATTCATTTTTAAAAATGACCAAACGATCCTAATGATAATTGATCTGCACATGGCATTGATACTGGCATAGGCATCGGTATCGGCATTGGCATTGGCATCGATACTTTTACTGGTTGTGGACATGGCATTGATACTGGCATAGGCATCGGTATTGGCATTGGCATTGGCATCGATACTTTTACCGGTTGTGGACATGGCATTGATACTGGCATTGGCACCGGTACTGGCATTGGCATTGGCATCGGCATAGATATTTTAACCGGAGGTCGACATGGCATGGCCATTGGGATTGGCATTGGCATATGCATTGGTCTCATAACTGGTCCACAAGGCATTTTTGCTTGTAATAATGATAATTTTGGTGATCGACGTTTGTTTTGTTGTTCGGGTTTTTGTTGTCCTTGTTCTTCTTGTCCAGGTTGTTGTTCTTCTCCAGATTGTCCTTCTTGTCCCGGTTGTTGTTCTTCTTGTCCTTCTTGACCAGGTTGTTGTTCTTCTCCAGATTGTTGACCAGGTTGTTGTTCTTCTTGTCCTTCTTGACCAGGTTGTTGTTCTTCTTGTCCTTCTTGACCAGGTTGTTGTTCTTGTCCAGATTGTTGTACTTGTACAGAGTTTTGTTCTTGTCCAGATTGTTGTCCTTGTTTCGGTCTTAGTTGTTCTTGTCCTTGTTTTTCTTGTTCAGGTTCTTGTCTTTTTCTCTGTTCTGGTTGTTGTTCTGGTTGTTCATCACCTCCAGTATTTATTAATTCCTCGGGCAGTGCATCTGATTCTTGTCTAAGACCAGGAAGTCCCAAAATTTCTCTTAATGAACCTAGCAGTCCTAGTTGTTGTTCTTGTTCTGGTTGTTCTGGTTGTTCTGGTTGTTCTTGTTCATTTCTATTCAATTCATTAATCATTGAAAGGTATGCTGGTGATGATAATGAAACTAATCGATGAAATTAAAATTAAATTAAGAATTAGAAAATGAAAATCAAAAATCAAAAATGAAGAAAAATAAAAATAAAATTTACCTTGTTCAGTACCAGTAATAGCCATTGTCAATGTAATGGCCATAAAAGCCATTATAAAATGAGAAATTTTCGACATTTTTTTTTTTTGGATAAGTTTTTTTTTGTACGGGAAAAAACAAAAACAAAAAATGATGATGATAAAAATCGAATGATGATGATTATTGATGATCGATCAATCGATATTTATATCAAATCAGAATCGATCTATCGATCGATCGATAATTGAAATAATTAGCACAACAGAATCATAATCACACACACGCCAAAAAATTGTTAATTTTATTCAAATTCACTTAATTTAATTAGATTTTTTTCAAATTAATTAAAAATGAAATGAATAGAAGAAGAAAAAATTCGTGCATTATTGCTTTGGATGAGAATTAAAATTTTTCTGTTTCGTTTGTTTTGTTTGTTTCATGAAATTACGTGCGCAAATTAGGATTCAGAATAATCAAATCAAATCAATCAATTTTCATTGGAAAAAAGGGTTATGTTTTATTCAATTTTTTTGTTTTGTTTTTATTAATTATAATGGAAAAAATGGTGACAAAAAAAAAATTCTTTTAAAAGAAAAAATTTCATGCTGGACGATATGGACTTTGACTATCATCATCATCATCATGACGATTACGATTTGTTGCTGCTGTTGTTGGTGATGATGGTGATGATAATAATCGTCTTGATGGATCGGATTGTTGTTGATGATGATTTCTTGTCGATGATGATGATGATGGTGATGTAATCTGTGAATAAGGACTTTCATCTTCTTCAATAATATCATCATCAACTGATGCTAATGTCATTGGTGTTGTTGTTGTTACAGTTGTTCCATCATCATTTGTTGCTGTCATTTCGGTTGATGAACGTGGTCGTATTTCAATATATTGATTCGGTTTACTACGGGTATTTTTCATTTCATTTAATGTTGATCTTCGTTGTTGTTGTTGTTGTTGTTGTTGATTACGTTTTGAATGAAATATATTTTCACGATAATGATGTGTTAAAAATAATGCAATTATTATTAATAGAATTAAACCAACCAATATTGAAATGGATAATGTTGAATTTAATTGACTTGTTGATGTATGTTGTTGTTGTTGTTGATTATCATTATTATCATTAACATTATCAACGGTATTGATTTGTTGAAATAATTCATTATCATTATCATCATCATCATCATTGCTAATTGATCGGCCAATATTTTGTGATAAAATTATTGTTGGAATTGTTGTTGTTGTAGTGGTTGTTGTTGTTGTTGTCGTAGTTGTAGTTGTTGTTGTTGTTATAATATGTGCTTTACAAATTTGTTTCCAATCTTGTTCAGTTTTTATCATATCCTGTTTATCACTATCATTATATTCAGTACCATTTATTGATCGTACACTTATTTGTATTTGTAAATTATTTATTTCATTATTATTATTATTATCGAATCGATATTTAATACTATTATTATTATTTTTTCGATAAATTTTTGGTTGATCTGCGGGTATAGTTTCCATATTTTTTTCACAATATTCATCCATACTAATTTGTTGTTGTTGTTGTGGAAAATTTAATGGCCGTATACAAATATGAAATGTATAATTAATATTGATATTCGATGATGATGATGATGACAGAATATTTGGCTGATAAATTAATTCTATATAATGATCAATTTGATTTGATAATGAATATGTTTGTTGACAATAAAATTCTATCATTATAAATGGTTTTGGTGGTTGTATAAAATGTTTTGTTTGAAATTGTACTAAATCCATACCGGTAAATGGTCCAATAAAACCATTATTACGTACAGCAATCGATACATTATAAGTTGTATTTGGTTGAAATTGATCTAATTCAATTGTTGATATATTACGATCAATCAAATGTTCAATAATTTTATCTGGTTCATTGATCGATATGATTCGTAATATATAGCCTATATTTGAATGAATTTTTAGTTGTTGTTTTTTTTTGGTCAAAAATAAAGTTTAAAAATAGAATTGAATGAATGGAGAAAATACAAACCTTTAAAATTTCCCTGAACATCTTTGATTGAAACTGGTTTCCAATCAAATCGTACAGTATTACCATCAATAACAGTTGCATTTAATTGTTCTGGCCATCTTGATGGCATTGATTCTGGTTGATTAGCTAAAAATCTTTGTGGTTTATCATATGATTCACCTAATTGATTTCTTGATTGTACATTAACTAACCAACGATATTTTGGATCCAAATCTGAAATAGTTATTGATGATTCATTTGTATAATATGGTCCATTATTATTTAATGGATCAATTTCATTTATGGCCATAATTTTATAACGAAAATTTGGTCCACCATATTCATATTTTTTTAATGGTTCCCATATAATTGTTGTTGTACCGGATTCACCATCACGATAAGCTGATAATATATTTGGATTACGTATCGGTACATCATTCATTAATTGACATGATTTTATTGTTGAATTTTTACTTAAAATTGTTATATCTTTATTATTATTAGTCCATATTGCTTGTATTTTAAATGAATATCTTTCCGATGGATATAATGGTCGAATATTTAATTGATTCATATTGATTGGTACACTATAATCTAATTTTTCCCATCCATTATGATCATAATATTGATTATTATTATTATTTTGATCAACATTATCTTGATCAAAACGATCATCATAATGTTTATATATCAAAAAATGTACTGGATTATCATTACTAATATAATCTGGTTGTTTATATGACCATTTAAGATATGCAACATGTTTACGACATTCAAGTCTTAAATTTTCTGGTTCAGGTAATTCAGGTTCAATTTTTGTTGTTTTAGATGTTTGTATTGGTAATGATGATTCGGATAATAATAATCGATCTGGATCACCTAAATGATGTATATCGATATTATTTTTTGTAAAATTATTTTTTGTAGATTGTAAATTATTAATTGTAATTATTTCATCATCATTATCATAATTGTTGTTGTTGTTGTCGTTGATTTGTTGTTGTTGTTGTTGATCATCATTATTATTATTTGTTGTTGTTGTTGATGTTATTATTCGACGTGATTCAATCAATGTTATTGTTGATAATAAAATTATCATTTGTAAAATAAAAACATTGGACAAAATTGTCCGTAAATTGAAATTTTTTAAATTCATTTTTTTTGTTTGTTTGTTTCACTTCTGATTTCACCAAAAAAAATTCAATTTGATAAACAACGAAATCAAGAATTATCAAATTTTTTGTTTTTGTTTTGAAACGTATCTGATTATGATGATGATGATGATGGCAAGTGCAATCATCAATTGATTACAGCCAAACAAAAAAAAAACACCTAAAAACACATTTTAAAAAAAATGAACAACATTCAAAACAAGCTAACTAAAAAAACCATAATAATCATCATCATCATCATATCATCATCGATACCTAACTACAACGACATAGAGGAATGCAATGTTATTACTATAGTTCCATTTCCATTTGTAAATAATAATTTCTTTTTCTTTTTTTTTTTGAAATTTCTCCATGTCTAGGTGTGTCCAACAACATCAACAATATTGTTTTGTGTTGATCTTGTGCACACTCTTAATCCTCACTAACCATAATAATCAATCTAGATTTTTGTTTGGTTGTTACAATTACAAATGTTTAACGTTAGACGTTACCATCGATACTATCGATGTTGATTTGGATGATAACATCAATGATAATCTAACTAATACAGTAGATTTTTATGATACATTTTTTTGATGTTGGCGTTTCAGTTTTTCTTTTCTGATGAAAACAAATGTTTACCCATCATCATCACCATCATCATCATCATCAAAGATTATGATGATTTTTTTGGGAAATTTTTTGGGAATTTTTTTTTCTTTGCTATTGCCAAAAAGCCAGTTTTTTAGCTCGATTCGGTTTTTTTCATTGTCGTCGTCGTTGTTGTTGATTTCAATTTTCAAATAATGATTTTGTAACTATGGTTTGATGATGGTTTAATGGTTTTAGTCAATCAATTTTTTTTTTGATTGGTTGGTTGGTTGATAGGTGAAATAACCAACAAGCAGCAGCAACAAAAAAAAAAAAAAAAAAATCGTTAATCTGGAAATATGTTTACATTTGGGGGGGGGGGGCTGGGATGCATTGCAAAAACGAAATGAAAAAAATTGTTTACAAAAGCTAAATAAATAAACAAATCAACTAATGTTGATTCGAATAAACATTGAATTCTGGTATCAATTTTTTTGTTTGTTTGTTTGTTTGTAACCATNGCTCGATTCGGTTTTTTTCATTGTCGTCGTCGTTGTTGTTGATTTCAATTTTCAAATAATGATTTTGTAACTATGGTTTGATGATGGTTTAATGGTTTTAGTCAATCAATTTTTTTTTTGATTGGTTGGTTGGTTGATAGGGGAAAAAACCAACAAGCAGCAGCAACAAAAAAAAAAAAAAATCGTTAATCTGGAAATATGTTTACATTTGGGTGTGGGTGGCTGGGATGCATTGCAAAAACGAAATGAAAAAAATTGTTTACAAAAGCTAAATAAATAAACAAATCAACTAATGTTGATTCGAATAAACATTGAATTTTCTTTTGGTATCAATTTTTTTGTTTGTTTGTTTGTTTGTAACCATCACTAACACACCTACCCAATCATCATCATTACCCTTGATAAATATTTACCTATTTCATTTGATTCAGGTCATCACGATGATGATAAGAAAAACATCTGGTTCTTTTTTTTTTGCTATTCAGTAACATTAATATAGCAAACACCCTATACTATAGGGCCTATAGCAATTAGCTATTATTAGCTATTACAATAATGAGAAAGTTTTCGGAAAATATTTGAATTAAATAAATTTAAAAAAATTTATTATATTTTTATTGCCAGAAAATTTCTTGATTATTTTATTGAAAAATTTTAATCATCATCAAACAACAACAACAACATTAATTAATTAATTTTGTTTGTTTTGTTTTTTTTTTAAATTGAATTGATTAATATCTGATTAATTATAATAAGATGTAATTAAAGTAAATTGTTTTTTCCCCCCTTCCGATCCATTCTTTTCTTTTTTTTTCGTTATTTCATTTTACTTTTATTTCATCTTAATAACGCAATGGCATACCATGATAACCATGTAACGGCATATGCATTGGTAATGGCAATACAGCTACAGGTAATTTCATTTTAAGTTTACGACGTAACAATGAATCATTGTTCATATATTCACCGGTTTCACGTTTTGTTGGTACTATAATAATAATAATTATAATAATAAAAAAAATCATTAAAAAATTGAATTTAAATGAAAATAAAAATTTATATAATTTTTTAAATATACATTTTCCATCTTTAGGTCTTTTGTTATCGCTATCGTAATCGGGAAATATGTCAGTTATATCCTGTTTTTCTTGTCCTTTTTCTGGTTTTTGTTCTTGTTCCGGTTGTTGTTCTTCTTGACGTTTTGCTGTATTGGTTTTTTTTATCAGAAAAAAATGAATACAAAATTAAAAATTCAAAAAAAAAGAAAAGAAAAAAAAAGATTTTTGAACAATTACCATTCCGAGCTCCAATAACATCTATACCGGATTGCTGTCGTTTCAAACCGGATTGTTGTTCATTACGGAGAAAACCTAAACCACCCAATCCACTAAGTGAACCAAGACCACCAAGGGTACCGAGTCCACCAACTGGAACTGGTGCTGGTACTGGTGTTGGTACTTGTACTGGTACACGAATCGGTAATGGAACTGGTACAGGTATAAATTGTGGAACAGGTACCGGTAATGGAATTTGTGTACGTACAGGAACTAAATTTGGTGTTGGTATTGGAATACGTAATGGAATTGGTAATGATACTGGTACTGGTTGCGGTACTGGTAAACGTAATGGTAATGGTAATGGAACTGGTGTTATAACTGGTTCTGGTACTGGAATTCGCACTGGTAAACCGACTGAATTGAAAAATAATTTTTAAATCGATTAATAATTATAAAAGATAATGAAAATTTTAATACCATTCAATTGTCGTTTTGACAATGGATTAGATTGTTTTGATGATGAAACACCTTGACCAGATACCATCATTATAATGCATGATAATGCAACTAAACGAAATAATTGTGTCATCATTATTATTGAGTTTGTTTTTTAATTTTCAACGAAAAAAAGAATAATGAACATATCGGATTCAGCTGGTGAATCCGATATTTATATCCAATTTTTTTCACTTTGAATTTTTTTTTTTGGTAGAGAAAAAAAAACAAATTTCTCATCTTGTTTTGGACAATTGTTTCATATTGCCTAACCATAACCAAATTGATTATCAATCGAATGGTCAAACAAAACAAAACAAAAAACCCGATCAAATTGATCAACAAGATCGATAATCACGTTTTTATTTTGTGACAAATCCCAAATTGAATTTCATTTCAAAAATTAATTTAATTATCCTTTTTTCCAATTGACAACAGAATTATTTTCGTCAAATAAAGTACAAACAATATTTGTTTTTTTTTCAAATGGAAAAAAAACACAAACATTGAGATATGTTTCTTTTAGGTTTGATATGTTTTTTGTTTTTCTCCTTTGGTTTCTTTTAGGTTTTGATAAGCATTTATCATTTTTTTTCCTTACATTATTTGCAAATCGACAATTTCGAGCGAAATCAAAAAATGAACTTTTTCAAGTACAGAACACAAACAAACAAACAAACATCTGAATAAAGATGGTTTTCTTTCTTATTCAATCAAATCAAATCAAACCAAATCAATTATTGGACTTTATCATAGTGTTTGGTGTTCTGATGATAATCATTTGTAATCATCGAAATGATAATGATTGAAGAGAAATGAAAGAGGGAAAGGGAAAAATCTTAAAGAAAGATCCATACAGCAAAAAAGAAATAGAAAAAAATGCACTATCAAGTATGAATTAAGTTTGTAATTTTAGGTACTGTTAATCAACTTAATCAATCAATCAATTTAGGCCATTATCAATCAATCAATCAATCATTTTGTATTTTTCAAATTAAAATTTTGTTATAAATACTGTTTGTTTTGTTTTTTGGCTGTTATTCAAATCATTCAAAACAAATTATTTGGATTAAAATTTTAAGTTTGTTTTGTTTTATTGCTGTTCAACAACGAAAAAAATGTTGGAATTTTTCCCATTAAAATTATGGCCAACATTAAGTGTTCTGGCCAATATTGTTCTATTAATTCTGTTTACAATTCCATTGCTTTATTTTTATTCACAATATAAATTTAGCTATTGGAAACGTAAAGGTATTAAAGGACCACCAACATTACCATTTATTGGTAATTTTCTTCTACCAACACGACCAATACCATTAATGCAAATGGATTATTATCGTCAATATGGACATTTTTTTGGGTAAATAATTTTAATTGTTGTAAATTGGAAATTCTTTAATTTTTTTTACTTGAAAATTCAAGAATATTTCAAGGTAGTCGACCATTATTATCAATATCCGATCCAACAATTGTTAAACGTATTTTAGTACAAGATTTTCATCTATTTCATAATCGTATGCCAACCACTGATAGTCATCCAGTAACTGCACAGAATTTAGTTTCAGCACGTTATACAAAATGGAAACGTATTCGTTCAATATTAACACCAATGTTTACAACATCAAAATTACGTCGTATGGAAGGTTTAATGGGACAATGTATTGATTCATTATATAATGCTATTGATAAATTATCTAAAAATCAATCATCATTTCCAGTACATAATGTTATGGGTAATTTTACAATGGATGTTATATCCAAATGTGCATTTGCCACCGATACTGATGCACATAATGAACAAGAAAATACATTCGTTGTAAATGCAAGAAAATTATTAGAATTTGATTTAATCAAAGCATTTTTAAGAGTTTTAGCACCAAAATTTTTGAGAAAAATTTTAGAAAAATTACAAATCAAATATTTTCAATCACCTGCAAGAGATTTTTTCCTGAATATTTGTTTCGGATTAATTCATCAACGTAAACAAAATCCAAATATAAAATATAATGATATGTTGGAATTAATGATCAAAGCTAAACATGGTGAAGAAAAACTGACTGATGATGATGATCGATTTGATTCATATCATGTTAATGCTGGTAATGAAGAACAACAACAAGAACAAAAATTATTAAGTGAAATTATTGGTTCAAAATATTTAAATGATGATGAAATTGTTGCACAATCATTTATATTTTTTATTGCCGGTTATGAAACAACTGCATCAACATTAACATTTGCCTTATATGAATTAGCAATGAATCCTGATATACAGGAAAAATTATATGAAGAAATAATGACCGAAATTATTAATGATGGTAAACCATTAGATTATGATCATGTTATGAAATTACAATATTTGGATGCAATTTTAGCTGAAACATTACGATTACATTCACCTGTTTTAACATTAAATCGTCAAGTATCAGATAAATATCATATACCTGAATATGATTATACAATGGATAAAGATGAATGTGTTTCAATACCAATATATGCTATACATCATAATCCAGAATTTCATCCAAATCCAGAACGTTTTGATCCAGAACGTTTTATGCCCGAAAATCGTGATAAAATAATACCATATACATATTTACCGTTTGGTGGTGGTCCACGTAATTGTATTGGTATGCGTTTTGCAATGTCTGAAGCTAAATTAGGTTTAACACGTTTGATAAAAGATTTTGTATTTTTTAAATCATCAAAAACATGTGATGAATTAAAAATACAAAATAGTTTATTTTTATTAAAAACAACACCAGTTTGGGTTGGTGTTAAACGTCGTTGAATATATTCTTCTGTTTTTTTTTCATTATAAAAAATAATTCATCTTTAATAATCAATATAATTAATATTAATATTAATAATTAAATTTCTGTTAGAACAGTTTTAGTTCTATTAATCGAATATTTGTATAATTATAAAACGTTTAAAGTTCTAATAAAATATTTTTAGTTGCAATCAGTAACTTCGTGTGTTCATACGTTTATTTTTCCCTATATTTGGTAGCAGAGCTACGTGTACTTATTTTTCCACATGGCTAACGAAGAAATCGTGAAAATTCTTGAGAGAATTACTGAAAGACTTGATGTTATTGAAACACGTCGAAATGTTTCAAGCCAAAATGTTAAAGGACATGATTCATTTGTTCTAAATCAAGTCATTAAATATAATGGTTCTAATATTAAATCTTGGCTGTCAACTGTAAAATCAGCATTCAAATCATGTGGTTACTCTCGTTTCCTTGAAAGTGAAATACCACAAACTGATCCGGAGTATAAATCCTATGACAATTGTCTAGGAACAATTCGGTTAATGTTCGAACCAAACAAACTTGAAATAATCGATCATTGCAAAACCGTTTTTGAGGTTTGGTCTTATATGGCAAAGATCGAGAAAGACACGTTCGCGACAGCAGTTCGTAAATACATG